TTCTCTTCAACTGGAGCAGCTTCAACTGGAGCAGCCTCGACTGGTTTCTCTTCCACTGGAGCAGCTTCAACTGGAGCAGCCTCGACTGGTTTCTCTTCCACTGGAGCAGCTTCAACTTTAGCAGCTTCAACTGGTTTCTCTTCAACTGGAGCAGCGTCGACTGGTTTCTCTTCGACTAGAGCAGCTTCAACTGGAACAGCCTCGACTGATTTCTCTTCGACTTTAGCAGCTTCAACTGGAGCAGCCTCGACTGGTTTCTCTTCAACTGGAGCAGCTTCAACTGGTTTCTGTTCGACTGGAGCAGCCTCGACTGGTTCCTCTTCGACTGGAGCAGCTTCAACCGGTTTCTCTTCAGTTACTGAAATCTGTGGGATACGTGAAATATTTCCTTCGATGAATTCTGAAGATTCCATCAACAAATCGAGTTCCAATCCGCAGAAAGTTTCAGCCTTCGAGAATACGAGCTCCACTTCGACATCAGTGAGAAGAGGTTTTTCGATTTTTTTGATTTCAGAATCAGTTCTCTTCTTTCTTCTGGTTTCTCTTCGACTGGAGCAGCGTCTACTGGAGCAGCGTCGACTGGTTTCTCTTCGACTGGAGCAGCTTCAACTGGAGCAGCGTCGACTGGTTTCTCTTCAACAGGAGCAGCTTCGACTGGTTTCTCTTTAACAGGAGCAGCTTCAACTGGAGCAGCTTCGACTGGTTTCTCTTTAACTGGAGCAGCTTCAACCTGAGCAGCGTCGACTGGTTTCTCTTCCACTGGAGCAGCTTCAACTGGTTTCTCTTCGACTGGAGCAGCTTCAACCTGAGCAGCCTCGACTGGAGCAGCTTCAACTGGAGCAGCGTCGACTGGTTTCTCTTCAACAGGAGCAGCTTCAACTGGAGCAGCGTCGACTGGTTTCTCTTCAACAGGAGCAGCTTCAACTGGAGCAGCTTCGACTGGTTTCTCTTTAACTGGAGCAGCTTCAACTGGAGCAGCCTCGACTGGTTTCTCTTCCACTGGAGCAGCTTCAACTGGTTTCTCTTCGACTGGAGCAGCGTCGACTGGTTTCTCTTCGACTGGAGCAGCTTCGACTGGAGCAGCTTCAACTGGAGCAGCTTCGACTGGTGTCTCTTCAACTGGAGCAGCTTCAACTGGAGCAGCTTCGACTGGTTTCTCTTCCACTGGAGCAGCTTCAAATGGAGCAGCCTCGACTGGTTTCTCTTCGACTGGAGCAGCTTCGACTGGAGCAGCTTCAACTGGAGCAGCTTCAACTGGTTTCTCTTCAACTGGAGCAGCTTCAACTGGAGCAGCCTCGACTGGTTTCTCTTCCACTGGAGCAGCTTCAACTGGAGCAGCCTCGACTGGTTTCTCTTCCACTGGAGCAGCTTCAACTTTAGCAGCTTCAACTGGTTTCTCTTCAACTGGAGCAGCGTCGACTGGTTTCTCTTAGACTAGAGCAGCTTCAACTGGAACAGCCTCGACTGATTTCTCTTCGACTTTAGCAGCTTCAACTGGAGCAGCCTCGACTGGTTTCTCTTCAACTGGAGCAGCTTCAACTGGTTTCTGTTCGACTGGAGCAGCCTCGACTGGTTCCTCTTCGACTGGAGCAGCTTCAACCGGTTTCTCTTCAGTTACTGAAATCTGTGGGATACGTGAAATATTTCCTTCGATGAATTCTGAAGATTCCATCAACAAATCTAGTTCCAATCCGCAGAAAATTTCAGCCTTCGAGAATACGAGCTCCACTTCGAGATCAGTGAGAAGAGGTTTTTCGATTTTTTTGATTTCAGAATCAGCTTCTCTCTTTCTTCTGGTTTCTCTTCGACTGGAGCAGCGTCTACTGGAGCAGCGTCGACTGGTTTCTCTTCGACTGGAGCAGCTTCAACTGGAGCAGCGTCGACTGGTTTCTCTTCAACAGGAGCAGCTTCGACTGGTTTCTCTTTAACAGGAGCAGCTTCAACTGGAGCAGCTTCGACTGGTTTCTCTTTAACTGGAGCAGCTTCAACCTGAGCAGCGTCGACTGGTTTCTCTTCCACTGGAGCAGCTTCAACTGGTTTCTCTTCGACTGGAGCAGCTTCAACCTGAGCAGCCTCGACTGGAGCAGCTTCAACTGGAGCAGCGTCGACTGGTTTCTCTTCAACAGGAGCAGCTTCAACTGGAGCAGCTTCGACTGGTTTCTCTTTAACTGGAGCAGCTTCAACTGGAGCAGCCTCGACTGGTTTCTCTTCCACTGGAGCAGCTTCAACTGGTTTCTCTTCGACTGGAGCAGCTTCAACCTGAGCAGCCTCGACTGGTTTCTCTTCCACTGGAGCAGCTTCAACTGGTTTCTCTTCGACTGGAGCAGCTTCAACTGGAGCAGCGTCGACTGGTTTCTCTTCAACAGGAGCAGCTTCAACTGGAGCAGCTTCGACTGGTTTCTCTTTAACTGGAGCAGCTTCAACTGGAGCAGCGTGGACTGGTTTCTCTTCAACAGGAGCAGCTTCAACTGGAGCAGCTTCGACTGGTTTCTCTTTAACTGGAGCAGCTTCAACTGGTTTCTCTTCAACTGGAGCAGCCTCGACTGGTTTCTCTTCCACTGGAGCAGCTTCAACTGGAGCAACCTCGACTGGTTTCTCTTCGACTGGAGCAGCTTCAACTGGAGCAGCCTCGACTGGTTTCTCTTCCACTGGAGCAGCTTCAACTGGTTTCTCTTCGACTGGAGCAGCTTCAACCTGAGCAGCCTCGACTGGTTTCTCTTCCACTGGAGCAGCTTCAACTGGTTTCTCTTCGACTGGAGCAGCTTCAACCTGAGCAGCGTCGACTGGTTTCTCTTCAACTGGAGCAACCTCGACTGGTTTCGCTTCGACTGGAGCAGCTTCAACCTGAGCAGCCTCGACTGGTTTCTCTTCCACTGGAGCAGCTTCAACTGGTTTCTCTTCCACTGGAGCAGCTTCAACCTGAGCAGCGTCGACTGGTTTCTCTTCAACTGGAGCAACCTCGACTGGTTTCTCTTCGACTGGAGCAGCTTCAACCTGAGCAGCCTCGACTGGTTTCTCTTCCACTGGAGCAGCTTCAACTGGAGCAGCCTCGACTGGTTCTTCTTCGACTGGAGCAGCTTCAACCGGTTTCTCTTCAGTTACTGAAATCTGTGGGATACGTGAAATATTTCTTTCGATGAATTCTGAAGATTCCATAAACAAATCCAGTTCCAATCCGCAGAAAGTTTCAGCCTTCGAGAATACGAGCTCCACTTCGAGATCAGTGAGAAGAGGTTTTTTTTTTTTCTTGATTTCAGAATCAGCTTCTCTTCTTTCTTCTGGTTTCTCTTCCACTGGAGCAGCTTCAACTGGAGCAGCCTCGACTGGTTTCTCTTCAACTGGAGCAGCG